TGGCAGCAAGTAATTGTCAAAAATAATACAAGTTGTGTTCGTGTTTGCTCTGCTCGGCCCTGAGATTAGTACTAGATTGCAAAACTAAAACGAATAGTGGCTTAGTCTCTTGTGCTTTCCCGCGCTCAAAGCAGTTCACTTTTATCAATTCAAGTTGAAATTCTCATCGGCTGTTTGATATTTTCTTTTTTTCTTGATTGGCTGTTTGGACAAAACTGATTTAAGACACCTAATCAAAATGTATAAAAATGAGTGCAATTCCGTCACCGTGGTTTCCCCCATTGCTCTTTGTCAGATCAGACTCGTCCTCTTCTGACTTCATTTTTTCTCTACTCCGACAGGTGTTACTTCCATGGGTTATTCTGGCTCATTCCCAGTCTCCAAGCTCACCGTAAGAGATGAACAGTTTGGGGACGTTGGTCTGGACCTTTTTGCCTATTCGGCTTTAAAACCACGTGATTCCAAGACGTCAGCCACCCCCGCCGTGGCGTTTACATTTCGCATCAATAACCCAACAGAGAAAACTGTCAATGTTTCATTAATGTTTAACCTACCGTTAGGAATTCAAACAGACACAGCTAGACAAGGGGAATCATACAAATGTATACAAATGTCGACAGTTAATTCCACTATTTGCTCTAAGGCTTGTGCCAGTGATCCTAAATGCTTCTCATGGCAAACAGAAACAAAGAACAAAACATGTTTACTCTTTAATAAAACTTTCCCTCACTACTGGAAGCCGGGCTTTACTTCTGGTCAAAAGAACACGTGGAAAGCTCATGACTCAATGCTGACACTCAATAGGCCTGGTAACTACCCTCAGAGTGGAAATACAACCATTGTGACTGAGAAATCGCATAGCCCTTCATTCATGGTCAGTGATAGTTTTGGTCAAATCTGGAAACAGTTTAGTACACATGGTTATCTGCAATCAACAGCTAAATCATTTGGTGGTGGATTTCATGGAGCCACGGCTATTAATGTTACTGTGGGGCCTGGTGACGAAGAGACACTGACGATGGTCTTAGGATGGTATTATCCGAACAGAGATTTCACAGGTGTGCAGTGATTCTAAAATGTGTTTTACCGAATTATGCTATCATTTTTTAATTCACCCTTTTTTTTTTCAGTGGAAATCGTTGGTAATTACTACAGTAACATCTTCAAATCCAGCGAGGAAGCAGCTTTACTTGTTTCAAGTGACCTAGCTTCGACTCTGCAGTCCATTTCTTACTGGCACTCGTCAATGATGATTGACACCACCAATGAATCGGTCCAGACCCTGCCCGAGTGGTTACAAGATGTTCTTGTGAATGGTTTGAGTTTCTGGCGCTCGGGGCTGTATCTCCATGATGGAAGATGGCGTCAATTTGAGGCTCTAGACTGCATTGATATTGATTCCGTCCATAATGACTTTCAGCGAGAAATACCTTACGTTCTTTTTTATCCCGACTTGGTCAAAAAAGTGATGCGAGCATGGGCGAAGTACCAAAGTGAGGACGGTCATATTGTGGAAACACTAGTTATGGGTTGTTATTCGCCAACCAGAAAAATGGACAGGTAAGTATGAGCACGGTGTGGCTGATTCTTCAGCATCACAGTTTATCAAATGTTCTGAAGTTGCTGGCTAGCACACGCTGCGACTCTGACAGCGACTTTCTGCGAACAAGGCTCAGGTATTCCGCGATTTGTAGTTTGCAGTGTGTTGATGTTCCTATAGTTATAAAGTTAATCTTTAAAGGTAGACAACACAGGAATATCAAGGAAGGGAAAATCCGACGTCTTCTTCCTTTAGCACTGTTAACATTAACGCACTGTCACAAAGCGATAGAAGTATTTCAAGTGAAGCGTTTTGTGGCCTTTTGCCCGAACTTGAATTTAGCTTTTCTCTTCTTAGCGGGCCTCCAAACCAGCGGATAATGGGGGACGTGACAACAGTATTCATCATAGAAACATACCACATCTACTTGTGGACCAACGATAGTCAATTCTTAAGGGATTTATGGCCGCACGTCATAAATGCACTTGATTGGCTGATTTACAAAGGCACAAACGGTACTGGGTTACCCTATAAACAGCAGTGCACATACGATATACAGGCTCTAAACCTTTACGATCACAATGTGTTCAACAGTTTTATGTATGTGCTTTCGCTGCGGGCAGCACAGGAATTAGGTAGAATCATGCAAGACTCAAACGTATTGAAGGAAGCTACGATTGCCATGGAGTTTGCAAAATATGTTATCTCGGAAGAACTTTGGAGTGAAGAAGATGGTTACTATCATGCTTGGTGGGACAAAGAGCTTGGATCGCCTTCATGGCTGATGAGTGATTCACTATACGCGCAAGTTTGGGCCTACACTTTAGGTCTTGGACACTTGGATGATCCAAGAAGGTAGGTTGTGGAACTTGTTAGGTATGTGTTGTGTTGTAATTTAACACATAGTTTATCCTGCACAACCATACCCAAATATAAAATTGGAACCGCAGCTAAGTATAAATTGAGGAATAGTCTTTTTCCTTCAGAGAGGTTTCTTTAATTGTGCGTTGAAATGTTTTTGTCTCATACAATCTGAGTAACTCTGTTTTGAGCTATCGTCTTGCATCCAACTCAGCGTACAGTGAGAAAAGCATTAATAAACGAGGGATAAATTTTGGTCACATGTCAAGTTTAAAAGTTTTACAAGACGTAAGATTCTGGCTAATCTGTTTTCATCTACAGAATATAAACTTTGGTTCCGAAAATATTCATACCAGGCTTTGTTTCCATAACCTTTGCTCTTGAAGATACTTTTCTTGATATTACGTATGCCCCCTCAGTCGAGTTTCCCCGCGATAACAATTTGCAAGTGGCTTTGATCTGATTCGAACCTTTGAGGGCGGGTAAAGGGTAGCGTAGCCGGGAATTTTGTGGTGAATGTTTCGTTTTACAATATTCAGCCTACTGCTTGGTTGGAAATGCTTAACTTTGTTAAACTTTGTTTAGGCTAAAATTGCATTTGAACAAGGAACTTGAAATTAACGACACTCCATATGGTCTGCGAGTGATGTTTACTGGCCACCCCACTAACAAGAGCGTGGGCTCGTGTCCGCAAGACATCTCACCGAGTGACTTAAACAAACATGTAGCTATACGCGAGTCAATTTGGATTGGCGGCAGTCCTGACTGGACCACTCTGCAGATTCACCTAGGTAAGGATAGGGTTCAATATCCGGTAATATTCCCAAATGACATTTCTCATTTCCCAAACCTTGCTTCCATTAAGAAAAATCTTCGTTAAAGTGTAATTCAAGATATGAGAGGGTGTGGCGGTTGTCACGGAAAAAGGGACATGTCTGATTGTTCCTTAAGTCGTAGCAGAAACACTGAAAAGTGAGTATCTCACGCAGCAAACAATAAGCGGTTTGTCAGCACTTTCCTGCTCGTTTTAAAACTATTTGAAATATAATAAACACAATAGTCTCCATGTGGTGCGAAAATATGCTCGTGTAAAGGATATTATTGTTCCTGTGAGATATATCGACTCTCACAGTTTTCCTCGAGCTTCATTTTCGGAAAAACTGTTCACATCTTGGAACAGATTAATGTACGCCGACAAATAACCGTGCACATTTTCGCGCCAGATGGCTATTGTCTGTATTTACGGGGGATGTGGTTGTTTTGGGTTCAGAATCGACGTCTTAACCAGAAACTAATCAATGAAAATAAATAGGGGAGTGCACGCCTGCCAAGCGGACTGATCTGTTGCTAAATTTAACTTCTGCGCTTTATCTCTGAAATGTTATCCGATTACCAAGGCATGTGTGTGTGTTTTTACATGAAATCCACAAACAAAATCTCGAAGTTTCCAAATATCTGTGCCTAAGAGATCTGACCAGATTGCATTACCTATGACCTCTTCCATAGCCATAATCAGGGAGGTTCCGATGTGTCCATTTTTGAGAAAAACATATAAATTATTATCACTGTTTCAGTTTTGATCACTTTCTTACCTAAAACAGGGGACAGGTGTTATGACACTAATGATTATCACTTATCAAAGTGACAGAGTTCTAACAAAAATGTAACTAAATACTTGGTGTTGTTTCCTCTATGTAAATCAAATTTGTTTTGGTTAAAATCCAGGTGTTGACCCTCAGGATGCCTCACTTCAAGCACAGAAAGCTATAGACCACGTTCGTTCCGAGCTAAACGACCAATGGGATTTTCACGGTCTCTATTCAGGGTCTGGGTACGGTCTTGATGGTCTCCCATGGTGCACCTCGCACTACACTTTCCACATGGTACTGTGGCACATCCCTTTTGCGATCTCGGGCCAGTACTTCTCAGCGCCAAATGCTACACTAACATTTAGTCCTAAATTCCTTTGCCCTTACAAAATTCCGTTTTACACTCCCTTTGCCATAGGCACTTTGCAATGCTCTGTCATAGACAAAGAAGCAATGAAGTTTGAAATGTTGTCGACGTCAGGTGATATTTTCTTGCAAAAACTTGTGGTCAGCGGATTTCAGTACCCCAAGTCAGTCATGTTGAAACAAGGCGAAGAGATCATGTGGCTATCAAAGGATGACATCTTACTTTAAGAGCACTCCTCAACACTCGTTGGGCTTATTTCTCAGTTAGCGCCTTTTTTTTTACATGAGAATGATTTTTGTGAAATTAACTCAAAGGCTTAGATCCATTACTTCTAAGTTCAGTCCTTTTTCAATTTGAAGGTGATTAAAAATACTTTCATGTGACTTTTTTTAATTTTACCGTATTTTTCGGAAATCATTTTTAAATCATCATTTTGGGTAAAACAAATTTTCATAACAAATTATGTTCAGTAGCATTTTTTTAGCGATTCTGTCTGTCCAAGAGAACCTGACCAGTCATTTTCTATAACGATATTCCCTTTACAGATTTACGACATAGCACTTACTGGAATTAACGTGGGATGATTCTTTAAAAAAAAAACTCTTCCATAAACTATGGACGAATAGAGGAAATGCAGTCAGGCTATAAAGAAAACGGATCGTCCTTTAATTTTGTAACAACATCAATCAATTCACAATTACCAATAAAAAAAAGTTTTTAAACATTAACTCCTTCCTTAGCGACTTCAAATGGCGTCGGTACATCAATCACGCCGCTCTGTGTAATCTCTACTTTCTGAACTGGCCTATCGTTTTGGCCCGTTTGAACGCCTTCGATTTTCTTTACTACATCCTGCAAAAAAAAAAAAGGACCAAGAAATTTTTGAAATTAACAAAAGGAAATGCCTTCTGACGCAAAATAATAAGGTTCATTGGAGCACTAAATGAGTTTAGGGGAACTTGACATTTGATAACAAGAGGAAACATGAAATTATGATTACCATTCCTTCCAAGACCTTTCCGAAGCAAGTATGACTGCCATCTAACCAGGGTGTCTGGATAGTGGTGATGTAAAATTGTGATCCATTTGTATCTTTGCCAGCGTTCGCCATACATAGCCAGCCGGGACCATAATGCTTTAGAACAAAGTTCTCGTCATTAAAGTTGTCTCCGTAGATACTATATCCTGGATGATGGAAAACATGAATTATTACCGTGCTGAGTTTTTACTGACTCGGTTTCCTTCAGATAGAAAATAACTTAGTGTCTATTTGTATCTTCACTCTCTCCCTCCGCCTTTTGCCGGGAGGAATCTATACGCCGCAATGTCTGTCCGAAACGGTTACCCTCCTCTTGCAAGAATTACTTGAAAAGGAGAGGGGTTTCTCGAGTTTTAAATTGCCAGTTATTGGGTTTCCAGAGACCTCATTTATTTATCCAGCTGTCTTAGAGAGGGGTGGTAAGACCTACTAAGTCATATGCCATAACGCTTCGTCTTTGGTCCATTTTCATCATTTTCACATTTTGAATGGGTTAGAGACAGTATTTTATCTCAAGCATGAAACAAAATCGGGAGAAGGAGAATCGAGGGTGAGGGCTTTCAACTCAGAGTGGAGAAACCGATGTGTGTTCGTATTACGTGAACTGAAAACGACCCACTGGCGTAGATTACGAATTTCAGGTCAGTATACATATGTTGATAAGTCAAACAATCCGTTCATCAGCAAGGAACGAATCATCAGCGAGTAAGAATTTTTACCTACCTCCTGTGCCATCGCCCTTAGTGAAATCTCCCCCTGGTAGAAAAAGGAAGCAAAACAATTATGGGGACTCTCGGATGTCGTCATTAATTGAACATCTATCAGATGTTTCTGGATAGTTTTTTGATGCGGATTTCAAGCGACAATTTGACAAAGTGTTACTTTAAGGGAAAAGCATGACAGAGATTTATTGATGATCTCTTCGTTGATCCTTTTTTTAATAGCTTATGGAGGTGAAGATTTTAGATCAGACGTCTTCAATTCTGTGAAAAGGACACCGTAAAAGATCACTCTCTTCTTTGTTCATGTCACAAGGAATTTAACGCATGCTCTCTCTTATGTTAGCACAAGTCCGAAAACACTTTCCCACGTGTATCGACAGAAGTTTTCATTCAACTAAACGATACTCTTGTGACAGAGGTCACCAACGACCGCTAATCACAAAACAGTATGTGTTGTTTAAAGGCAATTTAACACTAGAGAGGAATATTCTGGTGATAATTGCAGGGTGCGCTTAAAGGTTTGAATAAACTCAAAAAATGTATCCATCTCTTGATGCTATGAGCTCTCTTCAAAACCTCTCTAGAAGGACTGGGATCGAGTCTGATAGTTTACCATGTAAGTGTTTGAGTCAATTGTCCCAGTTATGGTTTGTTTACCGTAAAATGTAACCATCTTCAATTTTTGAACGCATTCTCCCACTAATTTCAAATTAAAAAAAGAAAAAAAAGGTGCTTCGAATTTTGGTTAAACATTTCTCTCTTAATTCTCAATTATCGAGGACTTTACAACTTAACTTTAAAAAGTTATTCATCAAGACAGATATTCTGCCATCAATTATAGAAGAAATAAACATTGTTGCCGAATCTCGACACTTTTCTGATTGCAAATGTGTTGACAAACCTTGGATCATAAAGTTTTTAATCACTCGGTGGAAAGTACTGCCCTTGTAGCCATAACCATACTGAAAATAAAGTTGAAAGTTTATATAGTAAAGTTAATTCTTGAATACCAAAGCAGTTTGGAATTGAGTACCGGAAGTAACCCTTTTCTTCACTGCTCTCTTCGATTGGTTGACATAACTCGCTCCACAACAGCCCATAATACCTAAACATCGGCGTTTTCTTGCGCCTGAAGTTGCTTAATTCATTTTGAACCCTTGATACCTCCTTTTGATGTTGACATTTGTTGTGCCTCCCGCTTCCAGTTTTGTGTTTTGTTCGTTTATTGTACTGTAAATCGCGTTACATAAGTTGCTAGGTGTTGACTGACAGTAATGTGCGTTTCTATGGTCCATGTGCACGAGACATTTGAGTTTGTGTGTTCTGAAATAGTCTTCCGTGGAAACAAGTGTGATTTGTGAACCAGCAAGTGTTTCAGGGTCGTAAATTTACATTAGTTCTGATTGTTTAAGCCAATTAGTTTGGCTCTAGTACAACGAAACAAAATCGCCTGAAAGCGTACGACAAAACATACCATTGATTAACGTCGCGAAACGATATTTTGTATGCAACCAAGTAATTAAACGCTTTGACGCTTAAACGCTAAAACGAAAAGTTTGTAAATCACTAGTCGAATCTCGTATTCTCCCAACATCTCGCGTGGGTCACTACACCGTTAAACCGATATAAAATGCAGTCTATTGCTTTATAAACTAAATATGGGTTTATCAATGCAAAAAAAGAGAGGTTTTTGACAATATCAAAGCGCTCATAGTGTCTTACTTATTTCATAAACATCACATAACGTCAACAACTTATTTCAAAACACAGAATAAAGATTGTTTAGAGAGTTATGTTACCCTAGGGAAAAAAATTTTTTTAAGCTTTATGTTATTGAATTAAAACTCTACTTGGCTTGCATTATGATATTCAGTTATCAAATATAAAGGTATTACATGATCATGTTGCTGTCATTCACTGCAAGGGTTCCGTGCCTGATCGCTTTAGTCGACGATAATATTTCCATGCAATTGACGATGGAAAGAAAATATATCCAACCCTGCACGAATGTTAACTACTGACGGAAGTAACTTCATAATAAAATATTTTAAAAATATCGTTTTTGAACAAACCTCATTTCCAGCGAGAGATACAAAATTGGTGACGGTTTTAGGAGCTGTGTTCCCAAATAAACCAAGTACAATTCTTCCTATAGGTTGTCCTCCCTCGGAAACATCGAAAAACACTTTGCGAGTTACCGTCGTCTCAGACTCGGCTTTTACAGCATTGAAAAGCACATATATCAATAGCCCTCGCAAAATCATGGTTGAAAACTAACTACAAAATCGAATGCTCTCGCCTTTTAAGAAGCAAACGACAAAGAGGCAGAGATAAGAATAAAAAGTATTAATTTTTAATGACACGTGTGACAGGTTCTGTCAAGGTAACATGAAGGGGTATTTTTAACAGTCAGTTCGCTGGTGAAAAGTATCAGGCGACATATCTTTTGTTGACAGCAATCTCAGCATTAGCGACGACAGGTCTCTCGGTTTTTAACCCCTACAAACAGGTGTTCCCCCAGCCCGGTACCCTTAGTCTCTACTGTCTCTCCCTCTGAAGCACCCTTAATAAACTACTTGTTACTAATCTAATTTTTCAACAGAACTAGATCGAAGTCAAGGACAGCAGACACGAAACTAGGGTTAAAAAAGTGACATTACTGGTAAATCACAATCCTTATAGTCTCGTAAGATAAACTCGCAATCCAAAATTAAACCATTAAAGATTTTTGTAAGTTACAGCTAATATCATTATGGTCAGATAAAGCTTCAACCGATATTCTGGGCATAAATTCATAAGTTTTAATTTCAATTTTTCTTTTTTTTTTTTTTTCATTTTGTTTCCGATGAAAATAGTTTCTTCACTAAGATTTTCGTCCTATCCTTTTTAAGAACAAACCAAGATAAGATAAACTAAAGAAAGTGTGAAGTTTTCCTGGTAATAGGATGTTGTGGAACATTTTATTAAGCTTTCAGAAATACATGGTGTTACGGTGTCTCTTTTAATTTTTCGAGCCGAGACGTGAATGTCTCTCACCTCTATACTTTTACATAGCTGATACATGCGCCACTTTCTTAAAAATAGGCTAAAAAAACCTGAAATTTCTAAATGCAAACCATGAAACACTGAACAGCCCCACTACACAGACACACCCGTCTTGGAAACTTTAAAAGGCCAGTTGAAACCTTCCTCGAGACCAGAATCAGAAATGACCACCGTCTGATCTGGATGATCTTTTTCGTCAGTATTAAGTCCTTCAATGTGTTTGACAACTTTCTATTAGGAGAGAGCGGAGGATTATCCATTACCAACAATCGGTATGTAAAATTGTTTTGATAAATCTGACACCAGGGAAATGTGCAAACGCGTTCTTCTAAATATACTAATATTTATCTCATGCTGGAGAAAATACAGCGAGTCAGGAGACAAGAAAGCCCTTTCAGAAAAATTTCCGCAACCTTGTGTAAATTAATCAATGTGTTCACATTGAGTAATCACCAAGCAAATGGAACAGTCATCCCAAGGAAACCTAATGGTGAGTTCAAAGATCCCGCTTGAGTAAGAAAGATGTTACATGAATATAATGCCCCTACGTTCCCACCTTATGCCACAGTGAAGGCTGATCCCAGCATTTTTTGATGGAGGAAGGGGGTGCAAACTTTCATTCATTGATTCAGTCATTTCATTTCCTTTCGTTTTCCTTAAGACACTTAAACCCTAGATAAGCTAGGATAGCATAAAAAAGTATTATAAAAGGCTAACTAAAGACCTCGTATCGAAAGTTTTACTCTTCAACCCTGATGTTTAACCTCTTTAACCTCAAAAGACGAAAACCTTAGAAATTGAATTAAATCTCTCTATTAGTCAACCTCTGAACTTAGAATCTTAACGCTCTTATCTCAACATGATTGATCCATCTGTATGCTGTCATGCGTACTTTGTATTTTGTCCTGGTATCAAGTTTGTGACCAAAAGCGCGCGGTCAGCAAAATTATAAAGATAAACTTACCATTCCTTGCAGAACTTTTCCAAAACACGTGTGCTTGCCATCCAGCCACGACGTCCTAATAGTTGTGATGTAAAATTGTGAGCCGTTGGTGTCTTTGCCGGCGTTCGCCATACACACCCAACCCGGCCCATAATGCTTCAGGATAAAATTCTCGTCATCAAAGTACTTGCCATAGATGCTCTTAGCTGAAAACATCAAAATTCAAAAGTTAAAATACTACACATGCAAACTCTGTTTACTCTGAGGAAAACCTACAACTCTTGAGGTCCGATTGTATGATTAAAGTTTGATTGACAGACTGGCTGACTGGCTGACTGATTGACTGACAGGCTGACTTACTGACTGACTGATGGACACACAAACAGAAAAACAGGCTATTGGATGATTAACTGACACATTGACTTACAAACCGACTGGCTGACTGAACGATGGATCAATCTATCAATCACTCGTTTTATTGATTGATTGATTAGTAGCTTTGTTGACAGTTTAATCCTGAATTAACGCTCGCTCAGAATTTCGTATGGCAATCAGGACAATAGCTTCCTTGACTGATGTTTAAAGTATTTAAACACACTGCAGCTGCAAGAGACCAGCTTTCAAAAGCATCCATGTACAAGGCCATTGTCCTTTTCGACTTTACCTAGAATATTTATGACGTGCTACTTTTCAAATTTTCTAGAATTCGACTGAGGTTTGTTACAAGGCTCAAGTTAATTGACTTACATCCAGATCCGTCTCTGTTGGAGAAGTCTCCTCCTGTAACAGCACAACAGAATAACAAATAAGTACGCTCAGGAAAAACCGACAAGGTAGGGATTCATGATAACATATTTTTCAGAGTCAAGAGGCTTACCTGGGTTACCGTGGCAACCATTTTAATCCAAAACAAAGTGCGCGTAAATAATAATCTGTAAAAGATTTTCGTGTCAATCATATTAGTACAAAGTACCACTCGGCCGAGATGAGGACAAGACACACTGGAAACGAAATGACACCGAGAGAAATGTTACTGTTTCTCAGGCCAGTTGCCATAACAATTCGCACGGACTCAATCCAACACGCCATGGGGCCGGCGTAACTGTGAAATCTCGGTGTTAATCTTCCGAAATGGACCACCACATGGAACGGCTCGGATGACACGTCTTGATTGAGTATTTTAAGTCGTCACTGTAGGTTTTGACTACTGCCGTAACTGGTAAGCCAAGTAAGTCACTTAACGTAAGCAAAATTGAGAGAAAGTGGCTACATGTAGATGCGTGACTGATGCACCCATGCGTCATGTGACATGAACAAAGAGGAGGTTTAAAATATATTAAAGTTATTATATTAAAGAGGAGGTTTGTTACATCATAACAAGATACATGAGGGAGAGAGGGAAAGCAATAGAGGTCTTTTTTTAACCGTGTTTCTAGGTCTAGAAGTCCATTGGGTTTAGAAATATTCAATTCATCCTTTTCAGTTTTGATTGCGCCTATAACTGGCTAGTAAGTTAAGGTGATTCTAGAAACCTAGAAAACTAGCTTTGGTTTTGAAATTAAAATATTAATAATATCAATAACAATGATGATAATAATAATAATATTAATAATAACATTTTTGTACAACTGAGAGTGGCAAAGGATTTATTCGTGACGCTTGATTAAGCCCAAACTAATTACGTGTCGCGTGAATTTTACATAAAGGCAAGTTAAAGTGAGATTTGATGTTTTCTCTTTTAAATTCGTGACACGTGATAAACTGTTTAATATACTCACGATGCGTGAATTTTCAGGAACGGAAACAGGCCCCGTCCCCCTCTGCTTCCCTTATAAGTGATAATTTACTTTACCCACCCACCCCTTCAAAAAAAGAGAAGTGATCGACTTTGAAGAGAGTAATTGTTCCCTCCAAAGTACAGCAGCGTTGCGTGACAACCCAAAGAGCGCCTGCGAGATGACTTTAACGACGAGCAAAGATTCATCAACAATATTGAGAGATAAGGACTGAGGAAACTGCAGGTGTTTCAGCTCACCTTGTATCATAAAATTCCTTATCACACGATGAAAAGTAGCTCCTTTGTAGCCATAGCCAAACTATCAGATGGGAAAAAGAATTAAACCTAATTACTGAAATATACGCATTCATTTTCCTATTTATTCATTCAATTCATTCAATTTTTCCTTCAAGTAATAACTTTCTCACTTTGCATACGTTCAACAGACCAAGGAGGACAGCAACTTGGAATCTGAGTTGTAAGACAAAGAACCCATCATCCGTACACAAACAAAGATCTTTGTCGATATCAAACTCCTCTGCGTTAACTGGCGATCAAGGGACGTTTTTGTTTTTCTTAGGAAGCGCGAAAGTATAACAATACACGAGTCGGCGGTTGAATGAATGAAAGAGAATGAACGCGCTAGGCCTCGCCTTTGATGCCTCGCATCGATGTCTGCCACAAAGGCCTCTGTCTATCACTTTAAGGTGCGTCGAGGTCGAAATCGAAAAAATTTGCTTGGCAAGGGACAACGGCATGAGCGGCTTGTTACCTTCAATATTTCAGGATTCCAATACAGAGTACATGCGACATAAACAAAACTGTATATTTTATGCTGGAAGGAAAGATCGAGGTACTGGCAGCAAAATATTCTCACACTTGAATGTAACGATCACCCCATAGACGAAATTGTTTGGCTACGCTCTCTCCGAAAAAAAAATGCGATATCTCATGTTTTCCGAACCAAAATAGTTTTTACTTACCTCATGTGAAGCCAGAGCCTCAAAATTTTTTACAGTCTTAGGGGCAGTTTTTCCAAATAACCCTATCACTATCTTTCCCACCGCTTTGTCTCCAATACTGATATCAAGGTATGCTTTACTTGTCACCAAAGCATCGGAATCCGCGCTAGCACAAAGCGTGTGTACGAAACAAACGGCTAAAATGAAAATGGGGATCATCCTGAACAGGGACGTTGGACAACTAATCGCTGCAGTTCAGTGGATGGAACAAGTAAAGACAACTCGTTTTCTTCGGTGCAGCTGATTAGATTTAGTCCACGTTTAATGGTCTCAAATTCACTGCCACGTATGCGTTAGCTGATCAATGACCTTCTGTACCCTTATTTGTCTGTCTTTTATCAATGGAGATTGTTCTCACATATGTTCTGTTCTTAGTGCACAATCCGCAATCGGTGTGAAATTTTTCGAAACCATACGCAAAGTGTACATTTAAGCGCATATGTCTGACTCACTTTCATTTGGTCATTTTGACAGTTTCATGGATGTTTAGTGATTTTGTTCCTTCAGAAACCGTGACATCCCTTGACTAAATGTTCCAGAGGACAAATTCCGCTCCTGTGTCACGAAATAACAGTATTAGAAGGAAACGAAACTGGAAAATGTGGCACACCTCCCTCTAGTCTCACCTTGTTAAAATAAACCCCTATTAAACAATCATGTGGTTGTGAAGTGACGAAGAGCCAGCAGAACAGAATGATTTCTTTCAAAAAGCCTGCATTGCATATGGCCGGATTACCAGCCATATTTGGGCGACTGCACTGACTAAATGACAACGTAAGGGGAATAGAAAGGAGTCTTAAAAATCATCGACTTCACTCAATTCCATTGCCCAAATAAGCATCCTTGTTACTTCAAGTAAATACCGCATAGGTATAAACAATAAACAACGCATTTGAGCTACCTGCATGTAGACAAAAAGTGAAGTACAGTGACATCAAAGGGGAGGTGGGGGAAAGAGAGAGAGAAAACAATAAACAAAAATAGGCAGACTTGTCACTAAAGCAGCCAAGTAGAATTCGGTGCAATATTCATCAAATTTGAGTGAAATCTAAAGGATTTAATAAGGTTAAAGGGTTAGGCACCTGTGCAGAGCTTGGAATTTCTTCCATTTAATTTTAATGATTTTTAAACAGCAATAGGCCAGGTGAACATGTTTGCAAACATTGTTGTTGGTTTCTTTTAATTTGTGTTAATACTACAGTACGACGAGCAGAAAACTCTTGGGGGAAAACAACCAAATACTTCAGGCATCTTGGGTGATTTAATCTGAGGTGATCAGAGGAAAACAGGATGGGAGGTTACTACTTGTTTTCAACCTTGAGATAGATCAAAACTTTTCAAACCAGTATCATAAGGAATCAAACACACCTGTTCACTTAGGGACAAGTTTTATTCCAGGTTTCCAAGAAATAGCGAATACCTTTGGGGGCCTCCAATTATGAAAATACATGTGGTAACAATAGTTTCTAAACATGATTTAAATAGATCTACCACAGCCACTAGAGGGATAAAAAAATTGTGGGATTTTAGGATAACCTGATACCTGGAAAGATTTCCACAACAAATTTCACATGATCATACATTGTTAATTTCCAATACATTCTGCACACTTACATGACTTTTAAAAGACTGCTAAGACAGCTAAAAAAAATCTACACTACACAAACAATGTCACACATTTTATGCTATGATGAATAATTAGTCATCTTTTTGAACTTGAAAAGGTTTTTCCACCGGAATTGAACCACAGTCTGCTATTTTGACATCTTTAGCTGGTCGGTCACGGGTATCTGTATCTGTTTTCTCTATTTTTCTGACAACATCCTGGTAAAGTAGATATAATAATGCATGTCAGCATTCAAAGCACAGACAGATTCCAGGCTAATAGAATATTTGACACCTTAAAAGTGTAAGGAAGGATGTGAAATGAACAGTCTGTTTCAAGTATTCAGTTAGGAAACAGAGTGTGACCATATGCAGTGCTCAAAGTGAAAAGGAAGGAGGATTGGTAGAGCTCACGATGAAAATCTGGGTCCTGTTCAAAAACTCTCTCCATCTGACTCTACCTTGCCTCTTTCACAAACTGAGCCACCTTTATATGAATTAAAGTTTTTCAACTTAAGAAGTTTAACATTTAAAACTAACTTAGTTTCAAAATATCAAATGCCATTAGGTGAAAAACAGACCCCTTAAAATCAACCCTCAATTTTTCATTTTTTTCAAAAATGGAAATTTGAGTTGAATCGCCCCTGTAATATGGTAATATGACAAATTGCTGCAAGCAATACTCTGAAGAGGTCAAATGGTGAGTTGTCCACAAAAACATGACACCTCTCAAATAAGTTGCCTCTTTTTCACAAAATTCAGTTTACTATCAAACATCAAAATCATGGATAGATTTTTAGTTCGGAAAACTGGAGACGGTACACTATAACATCAAAACATTTCTTACCATGCCTTCCAACACTTTCCCAAATACAACATGTCGTCCATCCAGCCAAGAAGTTTTTATAGTTGTGATAAAGAACTGTGAGCCATTGGTATCTTTACCAGCATTAGCCATACTCAGCCAGCCTGGGCCATAATGGTTTAACTTAAAGTTCTCATCTTTGAAACGATCCCCATAGATGCTTTTGCCTGAAACACACTTGCTCATATATTTAACACATAATCAATGTTGCAAGACTTGTCTTACAGTATCCTAGAGAGGTTAATGGATAAGATTACCATAAATAATCTAATTAGCACCCATTTAATTTATAAAAAAGGACGTACAAATTCAGTTGGCTTAAACCAAACAATTAAGTAAGCTCATGCTGCATGGAGATGAGGGGGATTCCCTGAAAAAATGGGAGAGTGGACACATAATATATCAGTAATTATGCTTTGCTTGTGGCTTTCTCCAATTCAAACAAATTAATATTGATTAAAGAAAAAAAGGTAATAGACCCACCGCCAGTTCCATCCCCATTTGTGAAATCACCACCTATATGAGATATCAAGTATAAATAAGTACTTAATAATATACATGTACATTACTGTAATCACACAGTGAACAGAATAATCATGCTTTTAAAATTGGTTTGAAAAAGAACTACCTTGAATCATAAAATCTTTAATGACACGGTGGAAAATGCTACCCTTGTATCCAAAGCCTTTCTGCATATGGGAAATAAAAATTGCTCTTGTTATTATACAGTTTTACATTACTGTCATTACTGTAATGCTACAATACCACCAATCATATCAATTTGTGCAACATGACATTGTTACTGAAAGCATCATTTTAAAAGTTTCTTTTGAATAATGTTGACATGAGCTGTTGTGCTCAAACTTGAATTTCAACTAAAACACATGCCGTGTAGACATTTTGATGACACAGTAAGCTGAGTAAAACATTGTGTCCATACCCAGGCTCACATCATTATAATGCAAATATTGGCTCATCATCACTATCGTCCCCAAGGTGTCTCTTCCTAATTCAGCCAGAGACAGGGAAAGAAAGAGAAAGAGACAGAGATAACCAATGTGAAAAAACTTGTCGTCGCGGAGGGCAACATCCTTGATTGAATAATCGCCACTTCACGCCACGAAAAAGGCTCAATAGCAAGTAAATTTGGTGCAGATACTTTTTTCAACGCATGCACGCAATAAAAACTAGATTTTTGGTCTCGTCTGGTGAGTAAAATTCTGTGTGCCCTAAAATTTATTGCATCAAAACTTCACATTTTATTAACTATTCACATCTTTTGAGTCTTTCTACAAAATCTAATCTTACCTCGTGGGTTGCAAGTGCATAGAAGTTATCCACAGTCTTGGGAACCACTTTTCCAAATAACCCAATCACAATTCTCCCTTCTTTCTGGCCTCCGATCTCTATGTCGAAGAACACCTTACTTGTGACAAGAATATCGTCTTTATTAGCTTTAGCGCCGAAGCACGCGCACGCCATGGCCACGAAAAATAAAACGAAGAGAGCCATTTTCGTTCCGCCGCTTTCCGTGAATACAGCACCAGAAAATTTGAATGAGGTGAATTAAACGAGCGTGGACCAATCGTATTCCAGGTTATTTACAACCAATTGCATCTCGACAACTGTCCGAGCTTTGTACAATGAAGGTCGAGGGGAACTGGTATTTGTTCTATTCCTGGTTAAACGTGGCAGTTATTTATGCAGTCAGAATTCGTTGCCAGTGATTTAGACGGCCTAGCTATACTATATGAAATAATTGCTTTATGAAATTGCTATTTCATTTCCTCAATTGTTTTAAATAATAAAATATTGACGTGATAACTACAGTTAAAATCACATGAATTACTGAATAGCTTGTATCTGCTTTACTGCCGAACTACTTCCGGTTTTTACCCGCGCAAAGCATTACTGCAACTTTTCCATCATTCCCGTAGTTTAATCGTAGTGGTGTTTCGGAGAATTGGATGACTTTTCGTGCCCTCAGAATCATGAAAATTGCAGCAGTAGTTACGTTTGCTATCTGTGCTTTGGTTTTCCTTCTTTTACCAGACGATTCGCAAGCTGGAAAAACGAAGAAAGGTCCACTGGTCACGCAAAAGGTGAGTACATACTCCATTGCTGTTTAGAAGCTTCAGTATAGTACACTAAACAACCAGTGAATAGGCTTTTCTCCGTCTCGGAAACAGGGAAGACATTTTGTACAGCAGAGACAATATCAGAATTTGCTTACTCATCTTAAACTCTGATACAAATCCGAAGAATTGGTCTTACTATTTTTACCGCACATACAATTTGTTACTCAATAACAGACAACCGAGTATAGTTTTTATTAGTAATGGATAATTTGTCGTAAGCTAAAAGGTCGGTCAGCAGCTATGAATGTAGAAGCAAAGGTAGACGCAAATTAGTGAACAGAGAGAGATGTGCATATCCTATTCATTAAGATGGTTTCCTGTGCAGATTTATTGATGTCTCTTCTGCAAGAGCATCTCCTATTTGACCCTCTTATGTACCCCTCTGCATAAACCCCTGAACAGATCAACCCCTTTACTTAGCTGCAAGTCAAATACTCAAAACTTAGGATTTCAAAGCCTTTCTCTAGATGTGAAGATATATTGAAATCTCTCAAACATCTCTGGTGATTCATTGAAATAGTTGTAGAATCAAAAGCCAACAGAAGGTGGCAAATGGTTTATTCATGATGTGTGATTAAGGCCAAAATTAATAGCATGACACTAGTAATTTTACTGTAATGCAAGTGTGATTAATATACGTGACCTGCGAACTTTATCTTCATCTCCTTGGAAACCTAAAGATTTCCCTGAAACCTCACACACAGAAGAGATATGAAGCTTTCCCTTTTAAATTGGTGATGCATGAAACAAATGTGACATGTGCTTAAATGTGTGTGCTAAACAGGATCAGGCACCTTCCTTTGCCATCCCTCCAAATTGAAGAGCATGTCAAAATAAAAACATTACTGCTGGCCCATTCACATACCAAGCACATTATGACTTGTTTTCACATACAAAGATATGGTCACTTGAGATGTAGCTCGGGGAAAAGTCATGTAATACATGCTACAGTAAAGAAATAAATATACTTTAATCCTACCAACAAAACCTCTATAACAAAGGGTGGGATTTTAAATACCTTACTGATTATAATTCATCAATTGCTTCACTGGATTTACTTCATTGTAAAAGTTATGTAACTATATTAATGGTACATTAATTTATTGTTGTAGGTTTATTTTGACATTACACATGGAGATGAAGAGGTGGGAAGAATTGTGATTGGCTTGTTTGGAAAAACTGTGCCAAAAACCACTAAGAATTTTGCAGCTCTAGCTTCTGGAGAGGTAAAAATTTACTCATCTTGAATAAAGGTTTCCATATGCTAATGGTTCTTCTAGCAATTCTTTATTTGTTTTCTCTGTGATCCATTGGTAGCTACTATGTTTCCTGTCACTTGTCTTTTATTTCTCAAAGTGAAAATGTGTCATGAAAATTGCTGTTAAGTATTGGAGAATAAGGCCTAAGGTTTTTTTTTTAATTTTTTTTTTAAGAGAATAAAAGATGGTCAGTTGATTTCACTTAATAGACCTCATGCATCAATTCCTTAAAACACTGAGATGAAAATAATTCCCATGTGAGAACAACATGAACATTGACAAGCCTCAAGTGGTGCAAATGAGACTTAGGGTTTACTTTCTGGGAATGGAGAAGTCACATGTAAGAGCTGTGTCAATTAGCTTAACCCTTACACAACCAAGATCTTGTTAGAAATATTCCTTAGTTTTTTTCCATACAATTTGTGTTGTTGGTGTGAAGAAGCTGGTATTGGATCAACTAATAATCTTCTAATTGATATTTTTCTTTATTTTCATCACTTGTCTGCTTGATTTTATATTGACTCTGTAAGGAGTAATGTAGTCTTGGTCACACATAGGATTGAAAGGGTTGATACTTAAAATTGTATGATAATCTGAGGAGTTGCAGGTATTAAAAATCTTTCTATGAATAATGGGCTTATTTTTGTTTGATTTGCAAGTAAAATAGGGTTTTTTGCTCTTTTGTTTCAGAAAGGATTTGGCTATAAAGGAAGTAAATTTCATAGGATTATTCATAATTTTATGATTCAAGGTAACACATTTTAGAACTTCCATATAATTTGTTTTATCTCCCAGAGCACAGATTTGTACACTACTTCTAACAAGGTAGAACCTATAGCCATTAGTACATTTCCAGCATATTGACTGAAGTGCTCTCCTTAATGTAACTGTTTAATCTATGATGAAAAAAAATTGCATCAATTTGGACTTAGGTTCTCCGTAACCGTCAAACTCCCAGAAGTGATTAATATGTAACTTCTCCCCATAATATCCATACATTATCCAGCCAACATGTAATGAGGATATTCAAACTCATCAGGTAACACCAAATTCTTGTGACTTATTTACAAGGAATGTGTAGCAGCTGGAGGGGAGAATTAACAATAAGATCCTGGGAGTTAAAGGGTTAAAGGAGTATCTGTCATAAATATAATTTTGAGAAACATCTTTTGCATGACACATTTGAATAGAAATTGGTAAAAAACATTTCTTCATGAATTATGCCAATTGCTAGGGAATGCTGTATAGTGAGAACATTTTACAGTAAATAGAACCACCATAGCTCATCCCAGTTTGTGTGACCACCTTGCTGTTCCACCATGCTAGTTTCTGTTTTGGCATTAAACAAAGATGAAATAAGACTTCTCTCTTAATCCTGGAACACACAAGAGGAATTTATCACTTTAATAGTAATGTAATGAAAATCATGCTTTTATGAAAAGATAAAAAATGTTTTCTTTGTTCAGGTGGAGACTTCACAAAAGGAGATGGAACTGGAGGTAAGGCTGATAACACAGCTAGCTGTAAACCTGAAAGTGGAATTAATGATAAGAATCCAGGATAACACTTCAGTTCTTCAACCTCATATCCAATACAAAACCCTGTAACTGTTCTTATTTAGATCTTATAACCATTTTTCTCCCAATATCTAATTTGTTATTTCCTTACTGCTTGTCATGCAATTCTTACACTTTTACTGTGGAGAATTTGGTATTGGCTCAACCTATAATCCCCCAATTAATATTCTGTCTCTCTCACTCATGGGAGTTAAAGTGTTAAGAAGGAAAAGTAACCTCTAACCTGTACACTTTGCCAAATGTAGAGGATAAATGTTTTGGCATAAACCCTTCCTGACACTTTAAACTATGATAGTTGTAAAGCATGACAATGAGACATCTGTGAGGACATTGGAAGGCTTGCATGAAGACCAGTCCATTCAGACTCCACACCACCCTTCCCCCCCCCCTTCCTCACCCTTGCCTCCCCCCTACCTACCCTTTTTGCACCCCACCCCACTCAATCCAAACATCAGACCAATGATGGCCCTTATAATCTTTTACTCTGTCTTGAATGTTTTTCCTAATTAAACTTTTGAGAAAAATAATCTTTATTTACCTATCAACCAGGTAAAAGCATATATGGTGATAGATTTGATGATGAGAACTTTAAGTTGAAGCATTATGGTCCAGGCTGGCTGAGTATGGCTAATGCTGGTAAAGATACCAATGGCTCACAGTTCTTTATCACGACTGTAAAAACTAGCTGGTTGGATGGCAAACATGTTGTTTTTGGGAAAGTTCTTGAAGGAATGGTGAGTTCAGAAATATATATCATTGTTTTCTTTGAAGAACAACGTTTTAGAATTTCAGAATTTTGAATTTTTTCAGAATTGTGATCAAACTGAAGAATTCAGAGATCTTTTCGATTGAGTGTCATAAAACCAGTAATCATAACAGCCAATTAAAAGAAAGGATAATACCTTCAAGAGCCAATGACATCTCTCAGTAACACAACCTAACTGCGTTAAGTGCAGCCTGGAAAATGCTGACGACCAAGCAGTGATTGGTTTTAGTTTTGCCTCTGACTGGTAGAGAAAGTGGTACGAGTTTTTTGGACCAACCTCAGGGAGAAGTAAAGCAAACACAAACAAATCCTGGATTTCTGAACCTCAATTGAAAGTTGCTCTATCAATTAACCTCACCAATTCACCGATCCTTTTTCCTAATAATTGCTATTCCCAGGAAGGTTGTAACGAGTCTGAGACACACTAGGAAAGTTAAATTCTGGTACCAAAGTGGATTTTTATTTGTCAATTGTGTCACTGAGATGTTGGAGTTCAAGATATCCCTTGTAAATGTGTCTTATGAGGGCAATTACTCATGCTAGATTAGACATGGTTTGATGCTACTCTGGTTTTGTAAACTAGAGTAGCATTAAACCTTGTCTAATTGTCCACCTGGTTACCATGTGAACTTTAATATATTTCGTGCTAGATTCTTACCAACCAAACGTCCCACTTACAAGTTACTAGGAGAATGACTATATGTAATATGTTTTTAGCGTATCTTACACGATGCTCGCCAAAACAGTTACTAAGTCAATTGCACTGTTCTTAAAATAATTCTCACAGGATGTTGTACGCAAGGTAGAAAACGTAGAAGTGGACGGGAGTACTCCAAAGAAAGAGGTGAAGATCGCAGATTGCGGAGTTATTGAGGTTGATGAGCCCTTCAACGTGGAAAGGGAAGATTAGCACCAGTCTCTCTTCAGTGTGTTTTGTAATGCGCAAGGATTTTTAATAAAATACAGTTATGAATTTGATTTGACTGCTCTGTGCTCGAGCATTCTGCAAATTCCAGTGCATTTCATCTCAGTGTTTCAGAAAGAAATCCAACATTGTGTCTTTGTTATTTCGTTTGTTTAATGACAAATGAACCATCTTTCCTTGGCACTCAGATAAACAAAACCTTAGAGTAAATTCATCGGTGAATTTACTTTACGTAGAAACTCCCTCTCTGGCTGTCTCTGTTGCTAACTAAGCACAAATGTAATCAGTGTTTGTTTGCTATAAACCGGCGATTAAGAGAAATGCGATGTGGGTGTGTAGTATTAAAGGCGATCGCTGTCGTGTTTCCTTGTAATCATTGTACAAGTACGCATTTTCTCTTGATCAAACTTGGACAAAACTATCTTGGGTTGCGTGAGAAGTTGTTCCTACAGAAGAGCATTATCGCTGGGAAGAAAGAAAAAAACTTGAAATGTATTGCATACATAAAATTTCAGAATCGAGTTGGGAGAAATAGGCTAAATAAGAGAAAAGAGCGGCTAATCTCGTCTTCTTTCGTCCAAGATAAGATAAATTTACTTATTTCGGGTGAGTCAATCAGACTTTCAAAGAAAGTCAGTTTTCTTTTAGAAGAATGGATTGAAGGCATCTTATGCACAGAAATTTTGGAAAATAAGGCCTGACGAAAAAAACTCGGGCCTGTACGGGATATGAACCCATGACCCATGAAAATCAAATATGTGAGTGCGGATAAAGACGTGAATATGAAAGCAATAACGGCCTGCGTACACATTCACCCCGACAACCAGCTTCGTAACTCTGCCTCCTTTGCAAACTGAACCTCGCCAGGGACCCCACCGTCAGTTAGCATCGAGAACCACGGGTGACAAGTAGTGGTGTGGTACCCGGCGAAGCACACTTTGTAAAGAAGACAGGGTTACCAAGCTTTGTCGTGGTGAATGTGTACGCGGGCCGTCAGAAATGGCTGAACTGGAAATGCGGCTTGGCGTCGGTTTCACGGGGAAGATTGAATTTGTAGTGAATTGAAATGAAACTATCGTATATGTGCTTGGATTCTGCGTTGGAATTGTGGCCTCCCGGTCTTTTTGAGCTTGTATTTTTCGCTTCTCGGATCGAGCATCCGGAAATCTCAGGAGTGTTCTCTTATGTGGTAAAACTCGCCCGAATGGGTTTCTTTTCAACATAGTAAGCGGCAGGAGCCCAGGAGACTCCCGTAAGCGGTCAGATAACAAGTGATATACTGTGGAAGTAAGGTGAGGTATTTTTATTGAGAATATGACTGTATTTTTTTTATTCCTGAGAGCGGTCGTAAATATTCCTGTACAAACTCTAGATCCTATAATTTCGCCATGACTTCCTATTTTGCAAGATGATCATCTCACAGCTGGACCTTGGGCCGCCTGTGAAATGACCTGAAACTAAATTAATCGTGAAAGTTCTAAGAATTTAAGAGCTTTCCGAGAAATGTGGATCTCCTTATTTCTGATTGGAAAATTCGTGTACCTGTAAACATTTCCGGTCAGGAGATGGCTTCCCATTGGATAATGCAACATTTAGTGGGATTGTGTATCTACACAGTTCCTCATTATACTGAATAATTTCACCGACACCGTGTGAGGTTTCTGTAGTTTTCCAAAATCACTTTTAAATTCTGAACTTTCAGTTCTCAACGTCGAAATATGTCGAGTGGAAAGGTAAGTGTCTGAGCGAAATTCAGAGATTTTGGTCAAGTCAATTAGGCTTAGGAATAATGCACTGTGTCTAATTGAGAATTCAGAAGAGGAGTTCGATTTCGGATTGTTATGTCTAACTTTTCATTCGTATTCTGGTGGTTTTAAATTACTTTAATGGTAATGCTATGTTCTAACCGAACTTGCCTTGGCTTTCGGTGGTAGCTGTTTTGATGAAATGTCACTTCCGTATTGCAGATGAACTCTCCGCGCTTCGTGACATTTTTATTGAGGCAATTTTGCTAAATTTTTACATATATTCACAAATGAAAACCCTCTGGATCCGATATTATCTGACAGACTCCTTCGCCAAAGGGGAATAAGTTAGGAAGAAGTGAAATGAACATATGAATTGGCGAACTCAAATACGAGATAAACACGTTTTCTCATCGACAACCGACAGGAAAATCACTTTGGCATAATGTATATGACAAGACCCGTTTGGAAGTGACGACCTTGTAAAGATCAATGTAGAAGACAGAATGTTCACTTCATCATGGTTCTTTTAGTTCATTTTGAGTGAGATGCGAAAATCTCCAACAATTTGAAAAAATTAATCATAAGATATTTGTAACTTTCTTCAGCATCGGTAAAGGCCCGTTTAAACGGTTTCAACATTTGCTTCAACTTGCATTCAACGCTTTGTTGAACCAAATGTTCGGTGCGTTTGAACAGGTCGTCCAACATTGTTGAAAACGTAAAAATGTTGAAAGCGTGTTGAATCAAGGTTAAATCGGTTTAAACTTTCATTCGGTTTTCCCTTGTTCTCGAAAATGTTGAATGGTCCGTTTAAACGGTTTTAACATTTACCCAACATCCGTTCAACTTTTGTTGAACGAATGTTAGTCAAATGTTGAAACTGCTGAAACGGGCTTTAACATGATCTAAAAGTGTCCACTAAGAAAAGCCAATTGGTCGAAGTCTGATGGTCAGCGAGAGCTAAGAATCACAGATCAAAACTCTTATTCCTCCATGCTAGAAAAGCTTCCTTCTATGATTGTTCAAAGATTAGATTTAGTCAGGGGCCTCTTGCTCTCGGTTACTCTTTCTTGACAAAAAAAGGAAGTTTTCCTGACGAAAGCAAATTCATAAAGCAGATTATCAGTACAACATTAAAGTTGTTCCTATGAAAGTTTGCCTGACTGATTTAGCCAAGACGCTATGCAAACAATCCTTTCTTCAGTAAGGCTATCGTCACTTGACGGTAGAAAAAGTGGCTACGATGTAAACCCAAGAGCAATGTGTATATGTTTCTGTGTATGTCTTACACCAATTTACGGGAGTTTGAGAGTGTTTTGTTTTGTTTTGTTTGTGTTTTGTATATTCTATATATGGTAACCTTATCAAGTGAACAAGTTGAGTTGTAAAAATTGTAACCTGAATTCAAAAGTAGTGGTATTGACTGATGCCTTCACAAGAAGAGCGCCGAATAAAAATAACGTGGTTTTAACTATACATTCCATTGCTTATATTTACGTCAGACACCATACCAAGGAGGTAGGCGTTGCTTTGGAGAATACAGATGTCCTGAGTGTAACCGTGGGTGGATGAGCGCCAACAGCTGGGCTAACACTGGTCAGCAGTGTCAGAATTGTAGTATTGTGGTGTACCCGCATACGCAGCGTCCACTGCATAAACCTGACGGGCTAGACAAGGGAGATGTCTCTAAACAACACCCTCAGCACTTGTGTGAGAAATGCAAGAGACTGGGGCACTTTTGTGGAGATCGTGACCGTTACCACTGAAGAACTGTTACCAGAGCTTACCGTTTGATTAATCATAATTTCTGGACGAGATACATGAACTGATTTATAAATGACGACAATGTAATTTCTTTAGAATTTTTAAAAGGCTTTACTTATACGATAAGCAGTTGAGAAAATACAAGATAGGTAAAAACAACAAAACCAGTATCCGTAAGAGTGGCAATTTCACTAATATTTTAAAAAATTTTTAAAAGAACAGGGCATTTCGCAGTAAACTTTTCAAGAATACTGGTAACTACATTGAATTATTAATTTCATATTGTCAGTTTCTTACTAAAGAACTTTTTCTGGGAGTTTCTAGGGAGTCTATAACGTATTTATTTCGGTGGAATAGTGGTCAATCATTGTAGGACTGTGCTTCTTCGGGGCGTAGTGATGAACATAGCCAGGGAAAAAGTAAAAGCTACACAATATTAAAATGAAATAAGGCTTCCAACCCATCGACTGTTGTACTGTGCTTAAGTTAAGAAACATTATGTATGATTCACAAAAATCTCATCCCTACTCCCTAAAACAGTCAGTCAAATACCTCAGGGTGACATTTTGGTGCAAAACTGAACCATTGTGAATTTTGTTCGCAGCTGATACAAGAGAAAACCGTCCTTCTTCAGCTATCCGCTTTCCATAGTCCTCGATCGACCTCTAAAAGGCGTACTCACCTTCTTTTAGCCTTTATTTTAGTAATAATAGCAACAACAACAATAATAATAATAATAACAATAATTTTATGAACTTATGAGCGCTTACTACATGACGTAATGATCGCATACAAATTGACCAATACTTGAAGAGTTTAAACGAGGCTTAAACAACTATTTAAATCATTTTCAAAACATGGATGTAAGATCTAGAGGCCAGAGAGTGAATTCCAGAGTGTGTTGAGGCAAAAATGTGTTGATTTACAGTTCTGGAATTCAAGGGGCCGACGGAACTATGTCGATTTCACTTCTTGAAAGGCAAAATGTTTTTTCGATAGATACTCAAAGTTTATTTTATCATTTTCCTAGTATACAATGTTTTCTAAATAGTTTTTGTTGTTTTTCCTCTTGATTTTAAATAATGATAATAGGTTATAATAACATTTTGTGACTGATCAAAGTAAGTAACTCAATACTTCCCACATAGATAGTAAACGCTGTCTGCGGTGTAATGCTAATATTGTGGAAAATTTCTTGATTTAATATCTAATAAATAAAAAAGGGAAACAATTTTTGGGCCGTGTGTGGATGATGACATTTTCTACCTGCAACTCAACCGTCTATCGTTTCGTGTTGAATTTGTCTCAATTTACTGAGATGTGCATTGGAAGAGATCAGTGGGGCGGATAAAGAAGGAGAGACTACGGGAAAAACAAAGCTTCGTTCACCTCTCTCCATGCTGCCCTTTCGTTTGTATATATTTCAGTCGTCCTCACTGAATGCCTTCAGCTCTTCTGCCGGGCAAATGCGAGACAGCTAGAAATAAGCCACCAACTACAACTGAGGTCTTGTTTGTCGTTGAATCTTTTCTTGATCCTTCCTGTCAGGTATGAACAGATCACCTCAGCTTGGTCAAAGTGAGGGTAGACTTATGAATAAAGTGGGTGAGTTTCTAAATAAACTATGGTGCTGCGTCGGTGGGAGAGTATAAACGGTAAATTAGTGTTAACAACTGAGTTGAAAACGTAAATTGACCACTGAGAAGAGTTTAAAGGCTGATGTTTCAAGAGTTAGCCCTTCGTCAGAGCAATTGACAAAGGGCTAACGCTCGAAACGTCAGCCTTTAAACTCTTTATGGTGGTCAATTTATGTTTTCAACACAGTTGTTAACACTAAATTACCTGAGGGTAGACATAGTACCCAAGCATGTAAAAATTAAAATCACTTTTGGCATTCTCGTATAAAGCAGCAACTTACTTCGTTAACAGACAGCATAAAAGCTGGCTGGTGATATATTTTCCGGATGTTTTAAAACGGGCGCATATTTAAAACGTGAAATACTGTATTAGTGTTTGTTTGTCGAAGCCGATAATAAATTTCCGGCCATTAATTTGCACACAGATGTGCCACCACCAAATAGATTGTTGGGAAAAAATCAGATTTTCATAAAACATGTCCATGTGCCTGTTTTTAACTAGCCAGACATTCCTGACAAAAAAAGAGTGGCTCTAAAAAATTATATTCTCGCGACAAAAGAATATAAGAACATATTTTTACGGCTAGAAAAACGAGCTTGCATTTCGGCAGAAACAATGCGGACAAAATAATGAAAAAGTAAGAGGAATTTCTTCATTATTCCATTCGTTTTTTTTTATGTTTTATTAAAAGAAAACGTACCGGCCAATTGTTAGAAAGGCGTTGTTGTACCTTTCCTTGATATATCCTTTTAAAGCAAAACTACTATGATTTTCCCTATTACGCCCCCCCCCCCCCCTACCGTCCTGACTCTTACCACCCTACTAATGACGGAACAGAGTCATGACAATCACATGACTTCCTCTTTCGTGAGGAAATGGTTCCCAACATGGCGGGCTATGTTGAATTTCTTAGAAGGTTTCTTATATTTTTTGTTGCCTTTCTTTGTTTATCATCAGCGACTGTGCCTAAGGATCAGCAAAGAAAGGTAAGATGGGCATATAGATGCAACTTTTCTGTGGTCTGGATGGTGTTTTGAAATATTTTAGTCCTGAATCAACGAAGGCTTGCATTGGCTCTGACTGTCGTTCATAATTTCTCAGATAACATACTTGTAGTCCTCTTTACGATAAACAGACAAGCAGTTTGCACAAACGTTAAGATAGCATGTGAAACCGGAGGGACATTACCTGGGCACAGTTTGACGATAATTATCACTTGCAAATTTTAACTCCTAAGCGGAATGGACCACGAGCTCGAGTACATATATATCGTATATAAATCCTAGAAGACAAATCTACTTGACAAACCAGTTGTTTGAAAGAGAAAACCTTAAGAGATGTCATATAAAAAACAAATATTCATATAAAATGTCGCTCTTAAAAAAATTTGCAAAAATTTGATGAAAAGTTGTGGCCTTATATGTTAGCCAATTTTTGAAAGAAACTGAAAATTAAATCCATCGAGAAAAAAGCAAAGACTATACACAAACATGTAAGTGATAAAGCTAATTAGTGGGAGTTATATTTAATAGATATACTTACGCTTAACCCTTTAACTCTCAAGATCTGATCGTATATTCTCCCCTCAAGCTGCTACACATGAAATTTTCTTCGTAAATCAGTGACAAGAATTTGGTGTTAGTTCTACCTGATAAGTTTGAGTCTTCCCATTACATGTTTTCTGGATAATTAATGTCTGACTATTTAAGGGAGAATTTACAAGGTGATCATCTCTGGGAGTTAAATGGTAATTTCAATTGAAATTTCCAAGAAAAGTTGATGCATACTAACAGCACAAAGAAATTCAAAATTCTAAAATTTAGAATCTTGTTCCACATCTTAAATATTCCATAAAATTTTTTGTTTCTTTGCAGATTACCATTAAAAGTATACCATGCCCAACAAGTATAACAGAGTGCAGTAACACAACTTACATCATTCATGTTATTGCTGAGAGTACAGATAAACAGAATTCCATGCACTATCTCTGGTCTGTCATTGGTTCTCCAACTATTATTGCAGCTTACTTTGACAGTACAGATGTTAATGTATCAATTGATTGGAACCATGTCTTGAATAACAATTCCACAGAGGGAATTACATTTACACAAACAAGTCTTCACATCACAGCACTTGTTATTCCAGCTATTTATGAGTTTCAGGATAAAAAAGATGAACTGTTTTACACTGAGAAAGATGTTGTGAACACTATTGTGAAACATGGCTTCCAGGATGAGGTAACACACTGGGAAGAACCTGAAATTGATCACAAAAACAATGTGACAACTTTTAGAGGGGAAATGTTGGGAGGAACAGTTATTTTTCAGGTAAGAGATGATAGTAATAATAGTACTAATGATAGTTAAAATAATGGATCAGTGTTAGTATCTGAACAAATGTGCACCTACCCCTCCCTAACCCAACATTAACCCTAAGTTGTTATCAGTCAATTGTTGTCGGGTTAGGGGAGGGGTAGGTATGCAGTTGCTCAGACACTGACATTGATCCCTTTGTTTAACCCTTAAACTCTTATGTTTGACAAATTCAGAATTTCTCCTTAGAATATTGATAGAATTTCAAGTGATAAGAATAAAGAAAAATATCAATTAGGAGTTTATCAGTTGATCCAATATTAAACTATCCAAACTAACATCATAAGGGAGTAAGGTTCTTAAGAAACTTTAGCGCTGCAATTGATTTGATAGCGTAAGTTGGCCACTGTAAAGAGTTTCAAAGCTGACATTTTGAGCATGAGCCCTTCATCTTTCACTCTGACAAAGGGCTAACACTCAAAACATCAGCTTTGAAACTACCGTATTTATTCGACTATAAGCAGAGTAATTTCTACATAAATCAAAACTGAAGTGAATGAAAATTTGGGATCCAAGGGGGTCTCAGCTCATAGCCAAAAGTTTTTGATTAATAATTACATCATCAACTCAGTTGATAATGTAATATTCTATGGCACAGAGATTGACTCTGGCTTGGTTGATTTGGTGATCTCCCTGTTGGGGAGTATACAGTTCTCCTGTGTTGCTACCTTAACAGTACCTTCTCTCTATTGCTGCCACTGAAACAAAAATTAACCACCTTTTATATTTGTTTCTACAGTGCAATGCATCAGCAATAAAGGACAGAGAGTCAATATTGCCACATCAACAATTCTCCAGCAATTCTACAGTTTTTACACTGACACTTCATAAGTTAACAAATCTCCAACACAAAGGGCATACTCGATTTATATTTGAATTGGTCTCATTTTCTGAGGATGACAGCTCCACTTGTGTTACAGCTCAAAAGTCTCTTGATGATGAACACACTCCAGCTGTTTTTAAAACCATTGTCATCAACAGTACACTTGGCAGTCATTCATCATACAGTGCATGGAAACCTGTAGCCTACCTGAAAGAGTCAAGGAAACTAAGTAACCAAGTCCCTTCTTTTTCATATTTTGGCAATCAGCATCGGTTTATCAATAATAAACAGTGTCAAACTCTCCCATCATCATCCTCTACAGAAGACTTCATCAGCATAGTTTCACATCTGAAGGGGAACTTCATATCAAGTCAAATGAATATTTCCTTTGGACAACAAAAAGATGGCTGGTATGATGGCCCAGAGGGTTCCAGATATCTCACATGGTAATCCTATTGATTTACTGTTATTATTATTATTGATATGGTCATTTTTTTTAAGTGCTTTGTTATCTCTCTGTGACATCATATACAACTATAATCTGTTCACCGAATTACTGAGGAAAACTTCTAGATAAAGAAGGCCTTATGATGTGTTCTTTCCAGTTTATAAGCATCTGTTAGTTTTTCCAAATGTGAGCAGCCATTTGCCAGTTTCATGATCTTCACTTTCATATTGTTGCCCTGTGTAAAGCCTTTCTATGGAAACAAGTTTTATTGCATAACAAAAAATATAATTTACAGGAGGGCCTCTAGCAAATGATCTTTATTATTAACAGTTGTATAAAAAAACTCTTGTTGGAAGGTAATACATTCAAACCTGTTAAGCAGCACCATATTCAGTGGTCAGTTGTTAAAGTCCCAAAATTCCCCCACCTTAAGAACTGTAATTTTTACCTCCATCAAGCAGTCACTTCTATTGAGCATCTGTGATAACTGTTGAATGAGTGGAGCTTGTATTAAGCAGCAGCGTATTAAGCTTTCACTCTGTATTCAGCAGTCTGTTGTCAAAGTCTCAAACTTTTTTCCAGTTCAGTACTGCAATTTTCATCTCTGTAAAGTGGTCACCCTTGACTGAGTCTAAATGACCTGTTTGTATTGGTGACTGGTTGAACTGTATTTGGTAAGAAGTAAGTATTAGGTAAATTCCAATAGAAGGTTGTGTGGATTGTAGTGACAACATACAGTACATGTAGATGCTAATTGTCTCTCAGAAATCTGGTAATCTAGAACCCAATCATCCTATATCCTGTTTGCTCATTTGTTTTTATTTTTCTTAGGTCTGCAGTGGTGGGCTACGGAACTCCAATCAAAGATGACTTTTCTATGCTTGTGTGGTTGATTATATTTATTGGTTTTGGTGCACCCATGCTTCTAATTTTTATCACCATAATTTATGTTATTATCAAGAAGATCAAAGCCAAGAAAGCAACATCCTCATATGGCATGATTAACTAAAAACAATAATTTCAATGTCCATAATGTTCGCTTTGTAAAATGTATTCTATATACAAGGCTAAAAAAAAGAAAAAAAAAATTAAAATGTTTAAACCAAACGTTTTTGGCTGTTTGCCATCATCAGGGTTTTTAATTTTTTTTAGCCTTGTATATAGAATACAATAATTTCAATGTTTTTAAAACATGTTAAATTCATACACAGATAATTAATGGAACAGATGTCCTTTACACCCTAAGAGTTACCTGCATCTAATTTCTCATTACAGTAATACTGCTGAATCATTCATTAGGATCATGAGAATAAAGGAAGCTGTGATTGTTAATCAAATTCTCCTTGTCAGTACCAAAGGAAATGTAAAGAGAAGAGTGTAAAGAATATGGATATTGATGTTAGGTTGTAAAGGGTTAAGAATTTGTTCTGGTGTTAAATAATTACATTGAATACTGAGCTGATGGACATGATTCAAGTCTTTTTTGCATTGTCGACAGTTTCCTTTTGAGTCTTGATGTACTTACCAATTTTGTCAGGTCATGATGTTCAGTGTTTAGATCATGATTTGCTGGACAAAATTAGGCAGGGTTAGTTTTAGTGGCTAGATGCAATACTTCATATGAACGTAGGCAATGTCATACTAGCACTTGGTTTTGTATATCATCATTTCTCTAAAAGTGCAGTAAAATAGTTATGCAGTGTAAGAAAGTGTTTTACATTAGCATAATTTGGAACACCATAAGATGTCTTCACAAACTCTCCACCCCAATTTGGCTCAAGGCAGATTTTGATGTGGTTGGTTGATTAAGAAGAAATATTGTCAACAATTCTTTGAGATGTTGTAATGTGAAAAACCATAATTGCTAGGTAAGGATAGAGTACAAAAGCATTTTTTCATTCATGTATGAGTTGAAAGTTTAAGTTGCTACCATAGATGGTAGTTTCTTTAAAATTTCTATTTGAATTTAAACTTTATTTTTAAATAATCTAATTTCATGATGATGAGACATTTTTTGGGGTTATGATATTCACTGACTACTTATCTTACAGACTGCTTGAAATTAAGTTAAATTGTTGCTATCTCAAAATAATGGCAACTAAGGTAACTTTCAAGAGAGGTTTTCTTTGTCTACCATGCCGCTTTACATCCTAGTGACATAAAAATGTTGGAAAAAAAGTAGAGATTTTTTTCATTTTTGTGGTTAAAAAATGAAGCCCACTCTATTATTATTACAGCAAGATTGAGGTCCATTGGTGTAAAATGATAAAATGTAGCGATGTAAAGTTATTATATTTATTGATGATTATTTTTTGTATTCTCACAAACTGGTTTGTACTCATTTTTTTATAAATAAACTTAGCATCAACAAATTAGAAGGTAGTTGCCTTGTAATTTGCAAAACGAGTGGGTGTAACGAAACTGTAATACACAGAACATGTTACGGTGATTTAACCTTTTCACTCCATCCTTTAGAGATTCAGAGCAAGTCTCACTCTAAGCTATAACTACCCAGAAAAATATCGATACCTCGTAGCTCAGAATTTAGAAGTCTTCAAGCTTTAAAATACTAGCCTACGTCTGTTCCCTGAGTTTCTCATTTCGTAGCTATCATTCGACACAGTCTGAACTTAAGTCATGTCTACTGGGCTTCCGCAGCGAAAGGATCGTTAGCAATTCAGAGTAGGGACCTTAAGATCCGACGACGGCGAGCGGAAGTTCCAAATATTTGCTTTGCGCACTTCCGGTAACCGTCGCGCCGGCAAAATTTCCCGCCGTAACTGTGTTGTCTGCGACATCAGAACGAAGCGTTTGGCGTTTTGTCTGAAATGTGAGTAAGTTTCTCTTTTTTTAAGGTCATTTCAAATGAATTTATTGTATATTTTCAAGATATGGTGAACTGTCAACATTTTTCCTGGCTTGTGGCAAATGTAAATGGTTGTAGAACTTATTTAAAGGCGAAACTGACCAAAGTTTCTTTCTCCTTCTAAACAGCTTCAAAAGTTCGTGACTCAAATAAGCTTTAATTGAGACGAGTTCAAAGGAAACAGTCCAGTGGGTTGTTTTCGATTCATATTCTTAATGAATATCAAAACTAAACCAGGGATTTAATCTAGATAATTTACCAGAGTTTGTTTCTGGAAAAAATCACTGAAGCTAGATATTATTGCGGTTGCTCAGATCAAACATGGAGTGGACCGAGGAACATGATAACTGCGTGCGTCAAGCAATTTTAGTACTTGAACCCTTTGAGTACAAAAAAGTAAACATTTCTAGAGGCAAGATCCGGGTAAAATTGCAAACAATCTGAATGGCCCTAAGCTTCCCCGATTCAAAGTCAATAAGTATGCTGTTAGAGAAAGATACACACTGCTGAGCGAGAAATTTAAAGCAAAGATGGAAGACGAAGAGAAAACAAGTGGAATTGAATGTGATTTGAGCGAGGTGGAAAAGACTCTGGAAGAAATAGCCGAAAAAGAAGCTGAAGCTGAAGACACCGTAGAAAACGAGAAGAGGACAGCCGACAACGCAAAAGCAGCGGAAATGAGAAACAGAGCTTTAGAAAGCCTGAACACGGAACACAGAAAAGGCAACGGAACAAAGAGGAGGAGAAAGTGAAACCAAAGCAAAAAAGTCGTAGAAGTGGAGGTGACACAATTGCATATTTGCGCGAAAAAAATGATCTTGTTCAGAAGTGGAAAGAAGAGGAATTGCACCTGCAAAACCAACGAGTTGAAGTTGAGGATAAACGGGAAGATCAATCAAGAAAACAACACCAGGATATGATGAAAGTTTTGGTGGAAGAAACTAAGCAGCAACAAGAACAGATGCTAAGTTTTCAGCAGCTGTTTACTTTAATGCAACAGCAGAAATCTCAAATAATTATGAAGCTACAAGAAAAACGAAATTAACTTGGCTTGGTTTTGCATGATGATGTTCATAATATCTTTAATTTTGTTGTGAACACTTGCTTCAACATTTTAATGGTTTATCAGGCAAGTTTATACTTGACGTTGTTGTTCGTTTTTATACCTTTAATCTTACTTGTATAACGACTCAGACAAACTGTTAGACTCAAATGTTATACATATTTTGATCACTTTATTAGGAACTTAACCACACTTCAAAATAATGACGTACTGTTATTATGTTGCCAAAATTTTGAATTTACACATTAAAGAACAATATTTGAAAAGGTTTATGTTTTGCAGATGAATGGAAGTAAATGTTTAAGAAAATAATCTTGAATGGTGGGAGGATCAAGAGCAAAGTACTCCGATGTAGAGTTGGTATACATACAGATTAAGGTATTAAGAAGAATGGCACACACAATGTATATTTTTCCTCTTGCAGTAAGGGAGATTTTTAAATTTTTCTTAAAATCCAGGGTTTAAAATAATTAACGATATCGCCGAAAAGCCATTCTACAGATATACGAACGGCGCTCATGGCTTTGTTGTACAACCCCATTTGTGGTGTTATTCCAGCACTTCTGTACGGGACCTGACACGCAAGGGATAAGCGGGGTCACCATACACGGCCATTGGCTTCAGATCACGAAGTAGACCAGAATCAGCCAGCATACCTAAATCATGCTTTCTACCCTACTATAGAGATCAAACATATAAGTATTTTAGTTAGCTGAGGTCAGGGTATACAGTTGTCAAATCTCACCCCCCTCCCCCCCCCCAAAAAAAAAGAAAAAAGAAAAAGCAACTAATCAAATTGAACCAATTACAAATCTGAACCTCCCGAAAAAGAAATAAGAAAAAGAAACTAATCAGATTAAACCAATTACCTACTAGGCCATTTTGGCCACCATACCATTAGGTAAGACAACACACTGGTACTTGAGACCATGCACTTGTTTATGTCCGTTATAAACGACCCTCTGATTTTCATCAGGTCGACAAATTTGC